TGAGTTACCATGTTTTTACTTTTCCTGATTTGGAGTAACAGACGGTGCACTTCTTTTTTGTCATTGTGACCATATGAAGTGGAAACAAAGATGTTACTGGCAGTGAATGGGTTAGATTTTGTCTCATTTTTTCCCATTTGAGGAGTAAAAGACTTGCAAAGCGTTGACAGCTGTGGTTGAACATGTCCAGATGAAACACTGAGTGATAGTAAAGCTTGCATCAGTGTCACTGCAGATTGAGGAGATTAAGGCAGATGGTGGCTTTAACCAGTATCTGCTTAAAGACGTAACACTAAATCCTCTGCATTCACACATATCATTATTTTTTTTTTACTTCAGAGGACACTGACTTATATTCATCTCTAGCAGAGAAACTGTAAGCTCCAGTTTGTCTCAAATTTAATGATTTAAACTAGGGATGCACGATATTATTGGCATGGTATTGGCCGATTTTCTCCGCAGGGTGTCTGGGCTCTCCCTTAGAGACAGGGTGAGAAGCTCGATCATCCGGGAGGGACTCAGAGTAGAGCCGCTGCTTCTCCACGTCGAGAGGAGCCAGTTGAGGTGGCTCGGGCATCTGTTTAGGATGCCTTCTGGACGCCTCCCTGGTGAGGTGTTCCGGACACGTCCCACCGGAAGGAGGCCCAGAGGAAGACCCAGGACACGCTGGAGGGACTATGTTTCTCGGCTGGCCTGGGAACGCCTCGGGATTCCCCCGGAAGAGCTGGCCCAAGTGGCTGGGGAGAGGGAAGTCTGGGCCTCCCTACTTAGGCTGCTACCCCCGCGACCCGACCCCGGATAAGCGAAAGAAAATGGATGGATGGATGGATGGTATCGGCCGATATTAGCGATAAAGTTAAATATCGAACATCGGCCATTCCATCAAAATAACTCACTGATATGAAAGGTGCTGTATGTATGTATACACACATATATATATATATGTATATAAAGTACTAAACGGAAAAGTTTTTTAACTTTCTGTCGGGGTTTTTGTTTTTTTAACTACCATGGCTGAGAATGTTAACTGCCCATGAACCATGTGTTGGAGTTAGCAGAGGGAGCTGGATGAGGAGCTGATTTGATCCTGCATGTACAGTTGTGTGGCCGAGGTCATCGGTGTCTGCCTGTGATCCGGGAGCTGATAAGCGAATAAAAAAACAAAGTTGGCACGCTGCTCGTGGCAGCGTCTCCTGACTCGGCTCCATGCATGTAGAACTTGTGAACATCTGTGTGACCTGTTGTGAAAGTCTGCCTTTGCAAGTAAAACGGGTTAAAAATCTTCTCGTGTCCTCGAGTGTGGTTCTGTGAGTAAGTAAGAAGAATAGAGGATATTTTTATTCGACACTTTCCTAATTCAAAAGATAATAAGATCATATTGGGGGTTTGTTCTTCACCAGAGTAGCGGCACCGACAGACTGTGATCTTAATGTGCCATTACTCATTTCTCTGCTCTCCTGACAAACTTTCCAACAATCAAATGTTTATTTCAATAAGAAAGTTTGTCCTTCGGCTCCCAAAGCGCCTCCTCAAAGCCACGTGTTCATTTAAACGTGCCTTTTAGTATTTGTTCGGTCTTCAGGTTCAGTAAAGATGTTTCCATCTTGATTCCTGCAAACAACCTTTAAAAGGAGTGAGTTCAGTTTACAGTGTGGGCGTGTGAGCGCTCGTCACACTCAGGATTTATACAAGAAGCAGGATCCTAAACATCACCTTGTAAAAATAAAAGACCCGGCTGTGAACAGAGTCCAAGCGAAACGGATTTAGTTTAAAATGACTGAACGCAGCTCTCTGCTCAGCGCTCGCTACGACGGACGATGCAGGAAATAAAACAGGAGGGAGTGGAGACTGTTTTGTCTTAAAGTGTTTAAAGCAGAGGGGTCTATGGCAAGCCCTTTTAACATAAAATCATAGAGGGTCAAATCAAAACCTATAAAGCAGAGCTGCATGGGAAATTAGAAAATAAACATTATTTAATCTTGAACACTTTTATCAGGCGTTGGTTAGTTGTAGCACGCTTGATAAAAATATGTTTTGGGACATGATTTCTGTAAACTCACTCTGGCACTGATAGCTTAAATATGCAAAATAAATTAATTAGTGAATTAAATTAAACTTAAATGTTTGCTTTTTCAAGTCTTTAAGGTTCAGTCAAGTTCTGGAAACACAATGACCTAAAAATAAAAAGTTTTAGCCCAAATGAATCCAACAGTTTTCAATGTATTTTATTCCAACATGCTCATATTTAGACTTCCTTAAGTTTCATATGATGCAGGTTTCCATCTCATTAAAAACGTCTTTTCTTTTCAGTCGGGGACATTGGGGACCGGATGGAAATTGTCTAGGGGCCGTTTTTGGCCATATGTTGCCCACATCTGATGTAGACACAATACTGCAGAGACTCTGTTTTATGCAGTATAAAATAAATGTCTGAAAGTGGACGAACTCTGTTCATAATGAGTTTGACCTCTTTTGAGTTCAAAGGTCACACTACTTTAAGAAGAAGTTAGAAAGTCATGTGTAGCTGACGCATCAAAACTCGAGAAATCACGCAAGAGTTACATCAGTCAGCTGAGTTTGTTGTGGAACGGTGGTGCAGTTGGTAGAGCTGCTGCCTCTCAGCAAGAAGGTTGTCGGATCGAATCCCGACCAGGGGACTTTCTGGGTGGAGTTTGCATGTTCTCTCCGTGCCGCGTGGGTTTTCTCCAGGTACTCCGGTTTCCTCCCACAGACCAAAAACATGCATGTTAGACTGGTAACTCTAAATTGTCTCTAGGAGGGAGACAGAGAATGGTTGTTTGTCTCGTTTGTCTCGATGTGTCCCTGTGATGGACTGGAGACAGGGTGTCCCCCACCTCTCACACAGTGGCGGCTGAATATGGGCACCATTGACCCCCGTGACCCCAACAGGAAGAAGCGGGTAAAGATAATGGATGAGTTTGTGTGGAAGCTTGTTTTAAAGAATATTATTAACTAGAAAGTCCCTGGAGGAACTTTGGCGGGGACTGCAACGGCCGCGAGGCCATTTTAAATTTTAGATGACAAAAATTCCTACATTTTGATATTCAACATGTGTATCTGAAAAGATGTGGTGGTGGGAAGAGTTTTGTCTGAGTTACTGGGTTTTCTTCAGAGACCTCTCCCCTCCAGGTCATGTGACCTCACTGTGGCAGGTAGAGGCTGTTAATTCTGTCAGTGTCGAAACGCCAATAAAAGTAAGAGCCCACATCACGGTGCCGAGCCGGTGGTTTTGATATGTGTGGGGGTACATATGGGGGGGGCTGCACTAAAGTTGATAGAAGAGCAGGTGGATAATAATAGGAGGCTGCCTTCAATCTTTCACTTGTGGACCAAAGATCTCATCTTGTTACAGCTCTAATGGTTTGGAGGCTAAATTACAGACGAGGCGGAGCTGGTTTGAACGTGCAGAGGAGGGACAGTAGACATAAAAGACATGAAGGAGGAAGAAGAGAGGAAGACCACAGAGAAGGTTTGTGGATGCAGTGAAGGAGGATCTGCAGGGGGTTAGTGAGACAGAGGAGGATGCTGCTGAAGTAATTTAACAAGACGTATGAAGTGGTGTTGTAGTCAAGGCCACCTAACCCGAGACCAAGTCAAGACCAGAGTGTACTGAGACCGAGACAAGACCAAGACTTTTAGGGTCCGAGACCAAGACCTCAAATAAAATAAATAAAATATAAAATGTTATTATAAAATATGTTTTATAACTGTTACATACTGTAACTTTGTATGTTTTTGAATGAATATATCAGCTTTTATAAATTTCCAAAGCTACATAACGTTGAAATCAGACATTCAGTGGCTTAACTTCACGTGATTCAACAATAAAATGACACAACTGTTAAATTGGAAACAGTTTCATCACATGCCAAGTCTTAAAAAACTGCAGTGGCAAAACAATCTTCATAAGAGAGTTGCATTAGTTACAAGTATATTCTTTGTGATTTAAATAGACAATTTTTATAACTGATGATATGGCAGACACTTTCTCCCGCGCCCAGACATTCACTTCTCATTTTCTTGGAGTGACCAGTGTTGCCAGATAGAGTCAAGATTTTCCAGCCCAAAAATCTGTTAAAAACCACCATATAAGACAAAAATCTGCCCAATCAATATATTGTTACAGTTGATTTACTGTTTGAACATGAACGCACATCAGTATAAGCCAAGGTAATTTAACAATATGTGGCAAAATGCAACAATCTAACAAAAATCTTCCCAGAGTTCCCAGCAAAATCAGAATGAAAACCGCCCAATTGGCAGTAAACCACCTAATCTGGCCACACTGGGAGTGATGCGTGCGAAAAAAAAAAGGGATGGGCGTGACAGCGGTAACAAAAAATATATTTAGCAATGAGTCACGTTATCGCTTGGATTTAAACCAGTATGTTTAGCATCCAATAAAAACAAAGATGTTGACAAATAAACTGGACAATATTCTGGCATTGTAGTGATATTTCCACAGCTGTGGTCTTGACTGGTCTCGAAATAAAATCCCAAGTCCTCAATGTCCAAGACTGAGACCAAATGTGGTTGAGTCCGAGACAAGACCAAGATCATCAAAAAGTGGTCTTGAGACCGGTCTCAAGACCTAGACCGGTCTGGGTACTACAACACTAGTATGAAGTGGTTATAAAAATCATAAAAAACAAGAAATAAACTATGGAACACTCCAGCTGCTGGTATAAAACATGTTCCTTTCAGCTACGGCTCAGGCACAAACTGTCGTACTGGAGGCGTTAATAACCTCCGTGTTTTCTTTAGCAGACCGACGCTGACTGGTTCACACGAGCAGAGGAGCTTCTGAAACAGCCGTGACACCTTCAGCAGCTGCTGCTGCCTCTGCAGCTGATTCATCGACGCCGTCGGCCACAGAACGCACTCACGGGAGCCGCCTGAGACGTCGCACGCTGACCAGAGCCAGCGTGGAGATTTTAGAGCAAAGCGTGCTGATGTTTGAAACTTTGAGAAGACGTTACCTTGTAGCCCATGGTGTGCACGATCACACGTCGTCGTTGCTTAGAAACAAGCTGCTGCCTTCAGGTTTCTTCTCATCTCCTCTGTGGAATGAAAAATGTATAAAAATACATTTTTATAAACTCTGATGTGTGCACAGCGTGTTGGAGTTTCACAACATATTTGAATAAGCTGCTCAACGTTTCACATTTCTGATCAACAAGAAAGAAATCGACAGAAGAACAAACTTAAATAATAGAAGTAGAAAATCACAAAATGACAAAACTGAGTTAAGAAGAGGCATTTTATTATTACTAACCCTAACCAGATAAAAGAATGAAAGACTCCAACCTCAACTTAAGCTGCAGATAAGACCACGGGCTGAAAGAGGACAAAGTGCACACAAAGTGGACCTTAACCCGCAGCCTGGCCCTGAGACTGTGTTCTGAAGTGAAATGAACTTGGAGTTGATGTATGATGGTAATTTTCATAAAATGATTTTGTATATGAAAATACACCAATGCTTCATCCTTCCAATATTGAGGGAAGTGTCCAGCAAGAGTATACAAAGTCCAGTGGTGAGTCCTAAAGGGTGAACCTGTTATATACCTCAGAGCAGTATGGTAAACAGGCTCCAGTTTAGCTAAAGTAGTGGGAAAATCACTATCACTATAAATATATAATCACAAAATGTAATACCAATCACAGATCTATAGATTGTGTCTCTGTAATCCAGCTGTGATAAAAACAAACTTGTTACAAGCCGCTTACGGGAAGAAATAGAAAAACATGATTTCAGTCTATATAAAAAACTTTAAGTAAATTTTAGATCTTTTTTTTTAGATATGTAAGGTGATGTTTAAAATTAAGCTCTTTATCCAGCCAAATACCAATTTATTTGTATATGTGTACAAGCTCTATGATAGTGTTTCAACAGAAGGAATGGTTACCATGGAATTATGGGAAAACAACATATCTTTGGCTTTGCTAGCATTCAGGACTAATTTTGAATCACGGAGAGAGTTTTGTAAGGTGTTGAAATCAGTCTGAAGATTTGAGTGTACTGCATCTAGAGAGGGCGCTGACTAGTATAGAATTGTATTGTCTGTGTGCATTTGGTAAGAGGAGAATTTAAGCTGATCAAAGATTTGATTAATACAGAGTAAAAAGAGCAAGGATCCTAAAATAGACCCTTGTGGGACCCCTTTGTTCAGTGTGATTGCATCTGACAAAACTGAGCCAAATCGAATAAACTGAACGCATTGAGTTAAGTAGCTGTTAAACCAACTAACCATGTTTGTATTAAAGCCAAGTTTTTGTCTGTTGATTAGGTGACAGTGGTCCACGGTGTTAGATCAATAAACGATGCTAAACATGCATGTTTACTTTCAAGTGCTGGTTTACATCATCTATCACTTTTAAGGTAGTTGTGATTGTAAGGTGTCCTGCCCCAACTAGATTGGAAATTGTTAAAAATGCTATTAGTTAGAAGGAACTGTTTGAACTGGACTGACACCAACGACTCAAACACTTTTGCTACAACTGAACGATTTGAAATGGGTCTGTAATTGTTCATGTCTGTGGGATCACCAGATTTAAGTAAAGGGATATCAAAGGCCAGTTTCCACAAAGCAGGAAATGTATTTGAGGCAACTGACAAATTAAAAATGTCAGTCACGGGTTGTGCAACAACCCATGACTGACGAAGACATGACAATAAAAGGGTAGGATGATTTGTTATTTGTCTGGAGTTGCAGTAGTCAATCCGGGAAGTCACATGACTGTGAACAAGGATGGCAGTGGAGTGGGGTGTGAGAGAAAGACGGAGATGGTTAATATTTCGAAGATGGAAATAGGCAGACCGAGTAATATTGTTGATGTGTGAAGTGAAGGAGAGAGTGGTGTCGAAGATGACACTGAGACTCTTGACCTGAGGTGAGGGGGATAGCAGAGAGTTGTTAAGGAGGACGAGAAGATGTTCTGACTTTAAAATAGTTTTTAGTACCGACAAGAATAATTTCTGTTTTGTCACTGTTTAGTTGAAGGAAATTGTTAGAAAACCAGTGATTGAGTTCAATGAGACAGTCGGTGAGGATGGAGGGTGGGTGAGTGGAGTTTGGTTTGGTTGACAAGTAGAGCAGGATGTCATCAGCATAACAGTGGAAATGAACACCAAATTTGCGGAAGATGTGACTTAGAGGAAGGAAGGAAGGAGGTAAATGATGAAGAGGAGGGGTCCGAGGACAGAGCCTTGGGGCACACCCATGGAGACGGGGTGGACTGAGAATGGAAGGATTTAAGCTGAATGAATTGAGTGTGGTCAGAGAGATAAGATTTGAACCAGTCTAACGGAGTACCTGAGATTCCAGTGGAGGTTAGTCTGTCGAGGAGGATAGAATGACAGATCGTGTCGAAGGCAGAACTTAGGTCAAGTAGAATGAGGATGGACAGAAGAGCAGAGTCAGCAGCAAGAAGAAGGTCATTAGTCATTTTTATTAGAGCTGTTTTGGTGCTGAAAACCAGACTGAAACTCTTCATAAATGTTATTGTTGGATAGGTGAGAGTGAAGTTGACTACAGCGACTGAGCTTTCTGGCTAAATCAGACACATTTTTATTTTCTTTCCACAAGAACGGAGCCTCTGTTTTAAAATAAAGAATAGAAAGACAAAAAAAAAAAAAAAAACAGCCACGCGCTTTGCATTGTAATCAGTAGTCTGGCTGTTTGTGCACATTAGTGCACGCAAATCCCTGCTGGAGTAAAACAAATTCACAAATCTGCTTCCCCAGAATATTTCAATGTTCTTCGGCTAAAAGGCTCCCTATAAAAAGCTGGATGGAATTAGGATCAAATCGCTCCGGCTTTTCTGGGACAGGAAGCTGTCTGAAGAGCTGCGACGTGCAGCTTTCCCTGCGCCGACACGAGAGCTCGTGGTTTCAAACATCCATCTTAGCACAGAAAGTGCAGTTTGGTCAATAGAATTGATCTTTTTTACTGTTAGAGGGTATGACTGTCATGTGAGGTCATTTCATCTTTTTATTCATGATGTAACACCTGCCTCAGTAGAACCACCGCATGTTGTTCTAGTTTGTGCAAAAGCTTTGAGTTGAAGATGTCTTTACGTGTTTAACGTCTACAGCTGCCATTTTGCCTGCTCTGCCTGTGCTGCAAGCCTCCAGTCGTGTGGATCTGGACCTTCTGCAGAGTACAGGAGTTAAACATATTTTTGGAGACTCGTTGGGAGCTCTGTTGTCATTAACACGCTCTGCGCTCAGTTTGACACAGAGCGGAGAAAATGTTTTAAAGTGACAGACGTGTTCACGTCATTTCAGCACAATCAGATGCAAACAGGAGGAAACACAGAGGGAAGGAAAGTCAAAAAGCTGGTCGCTACTAGAAACATCTGTCATGCTCAGTCTCACCCAAAACAAACGAGGTAAAGAAAAAGAAAAAGGTTATTTTGGGTCAGTGTAAAGATTACGCTTTGGTGACTTCTTTTTGTGCAACAAAGACCAGATCACATTTAATTTCATTAGCAGGTTTGCCTTTTTGTTACTTTTATGTACTTTTTAGTAATTGCACATGTTGTGCTATTTTCATTTATAAAAACGTTCAGCTCATTCAGGAGGTGGGAGCTGCGATTTTTGTTTTCTGTAACTTTTCTGTCTTTATTTATAAATTCACCTTAATTTCCAAATATTTTCACTGTAAAATACATTGTGACATCAAGTTCCTCAAAAACAGTTTTTAGTTTTTTTTAAATCAGGGTACTTGCATTTTTTTTTCCCTATGCTACTTTTTGCTTTTAGCTAGCATTTTTAAATATGACAGTGAGAGGACTGAAGGGAGGAGACAGAAATTAAAGGAGATGCAATGTAGAGCAAAGAGGGAGGTAGTGAAGGCAAAGCAGAAGTCATATGATGAGTTTTATGGGAGGCTGGACACTAAAGAGGGTGAGAAGGACTTGTACCGGTTAGCGAGACTGAGGGATCGGGCTGGAAAGGATGTGCAGCAGGTTAGGCTTGTTAAAGATAGGAATGGTAATGTTCTAACAAGTGAGGAGCGTGTGATGGGGAGATGGAAGGAGTATTTTGAGGAGCAAATGAATGAAGAGAATGAAAGAGAAAGAAGAGTAGAGGTCATGGAAACTGTGGACCAGGAAGTGGGAAAGATTAGTGAAGGTGAAGTTCAGAAAACTCTGAAAAGAATGAAGAAGGGGAAGGCAGTGGGATGCTCAGTAATCCAGGCATACAATCCAATGGGGTGATGCAAAGTTGTAACAACTACAGGGGAATTAAGTTGATGAGTCACACAATGAAGATCTGTGAGCAGCAGTATGGTTTCATGCCAGGAAAGAGCCCCACAGATGCCATCTTTACTTTGAGGATGTTGATGAAGTACAGAGAGGGTCAGAAAAAACTCCAATGTGTCTTTGTGGATTTAGAAAAAGCATCTGACAGGGTGCCGAGGAAGGAGGTGTGGTATTGCATGATTGCATGAGGAAAGTATGTTAGACCGGTACAGGACATGTATGAAGACAGCAGGACAGTGGTGAGATGTGCTGTAGGAGTGACAGATAGCTTCAAGGTGGAGGTGGGAGTGCATCAAGAATTGGCTCTGAGCCCCTTCTTGTTTGCTCTGGTGATGGACCGACTAACAGATGAGGTCAGGCATGAATCCCTGTGGACTATGATGTTTGCAGATGACATTGTGATCTGTGGTGAGAACAGGGAACAGGTGGAAGAGAAGTTGGAGAGGTGGAGGTATGCACTTGAAAGAAGAGGAATGAAAGTCAGCCGTAGTAAGACAGAGTCCATGTGTGTGAATGAGAGGGAGGAGGTGGAACAGTGAGGCTACAAGGAGCAGAGGTCACAAAGGTGCAGGACTTTAAGGACTTGGGGTCCACTGTCCAGGAACATGGGGAGTGTGGTGAAGAAGTGAAGAAGAGAGACCAGACAGGATGGAGTGGATGGAGAAAAGTTTCAGGAGGGATTTGTGACAAAAAAGTGTCAGCAACGGTCAAAGGAAAAGTTTACAAGACAGTGGTGAGACCAGCTATACTGTATGGTCTAGAGACAGAGACATGGACAAAAAGACAGGAGACAGAACTGGAAGTGGCAGAAATGAAGATGTTGAGGTTCTCCTTAGGAGAGACAAGGATGGAGAAGATTAGAAATGAGATCATCAGAGGTACAGCACAGGTTGAACAACTGGGAGATAAAGTTAGAGAGGACACACTGAGATGGTTTGGACATGTCCAGAGGAGGGACAGTGGTTTGGACATGTCCAGAGGAGGGACAGTAGGTATACTGGTAGAAGGATGTTAGAAATGCAGCTGCCAGGAAAAAGACAGAGGAGATATATGGATGCAGTTAGAGAGGACATGGAGGTAGTTGGAGTGAGGACAGAGAGAGATGGAGGAGGATGACTCCTGTGGAGACCCGAGGGAACAGCCGAAAGAATAAGAAAGTCTTTTAGCTACCTTTGACCTTATTGTTATGCCACTTTGTTTGTGTTCAGTATATTTTAGCTTTCAGCTTTAACATCTCAGCTTCTTCAAAAAATGTTAATGATTCAGTATTCATAATGCAATTCTGCAAAAAAAAAAGCTATTTCTTTCTATCTATCTATCTATCTATCTATCTATCTATCTATCTATCTATCTATCTATCTATCTATCTATCTATCTATCTATCTATCTATCTATCTATCTATCTATCTATCTCTATCTATCTATCTATCTATCTCTATCTATCTATCTATCTATCTATCTATCTATCTATCTATCTATCTATCTATCTATCTATCTATCTATCTATCTATCATCTTACCTCAGGTGTTGTGCTGTTATTTGCTGACCTCGTGAAGTGATGCTCGTCCGTTACGTCACGTCGTACCTTCGGTTTATCGAAGCAACGGGACCGAGCAGGTCGTTGTCGTTACTGCCGCCATGTTCCCGGTAAGTCCCCCGAGTCGCCGCACCGCTGTCCGCGCTTCCTGTCCGACTTGTCTCTCGGTGTCCGGGGACATTTGGAGCAGCCGGACCGGGAGCACCAGGTCCGTCTCTCTCCACCGTTTTCTGTGTCAACCGACCGTCTGATGCAGGACCTCGCGACAAGCTGGCAATGACAACGACGCTTGGCTTCCGGTTGAAATTTCAAAATAAAATGTGCACGTGTACCAATCTTAGCATTTTAATTTATTTTTTACTGAAAGTGACCTAATTAGTGTCTTTTAGGTTCACAAAAAGGTATGCTATTATATACTATTGTTTTTAAACACGCAAATCACTGCATTTATTACAATGTGTTTGTTATATTTTCCCACAAAAATTCATATAATAATATAAAATATTGTAATGTAAAATAAATGTAATATATTTCACATAATCAGGTAAGGATGTAAAATTCTGTCTAAATAATAATTTTTCTACTAAGAGCAGCTTTTGACAGATAAAAACTCCTAAATGTACAGTATTACTTTTTTTTTTTTTACTTCAGAGCAGCACGTCACAAATATTGGCCATAAATATAGAATGTATGACAACAAAGTTATATTTTGTATCAGTCCTTTTGCCGTTATGTACAATGTAAAGGTAAAAATGATTAAACATGATCGATGTTTACTATCGCCATTTACCCAGAAGGCATTGCAGTGTAAACAACAGTGGTGATTTTTCAAGAAAGGTGTATAAAAATTAAACAGTTGATAGTATTTTTGCAATATTGTTTTTATATCTGAAGCACATGTCCATCAAATGAGATTTATTGTTCCAAGTCGTTGGAGATCCCGTTAACAAACGAACAAATGAAAACATACAGCAGGTCTGTAGGTGGAGCGGTGTAGTCTACATTTTTGTACTGGGATACTGTGCTTGGAAACTGAAGTACACCGGTTAGTACAATGTAATTGTCAATTTATTTTGATTTTTAAGCATACTGAACATGTCCAAATTTCTCTGATGCTTATATTTGAATAAATGTACCGCACAAGAAACTATGCACAAAAGTGGGTTTTGTATTAAAAACATGTTATAGAATTTATAAAACAGTAGCAAAACATGTTCAAGTATTAAGTAGTAAGTACAGAAGTATTAATTGTACAACTCAATGTGTCTATAAAATGTTACAAATGTGTTGACAATGATATCTATATTATTGGGCACTTTTAAGTGGGTATACTGTAATTCCCAAGCTTTTCTAATGGATATACTCCGTATACCTGCGTATCACATAGACCACACCACTAGTTTCATGAATATAATAATCATATTAATAAAGAGGAAGAATAAAATTTAGAAACACTCGTCACAATATTGCAGAGGTCACATTTCTATTTTGAATTCTAACACAGTAAGCACTTTACATATATTTTAGGATCTCTTGCAGATAAGTGTAAAAACGTTGGTCACAAATTCGCACGCGCATCGTCTTCCAGAAAACGAAATTCAGTTCATGTACTTTGATTTTGAAGGGACACAAGAATCGCCTAATATCCGGTTCTCTCTGAATCTGTCCAACTTGTCGGATCGATCTGCAGCAGCCAAGACACGCAATCCCTCTGCAGGAGGATGATGATGATGAGGATGCACATGAATCCCAGTGTTTGCTCTCATTCCAGTCGCATCGTCACCGATGCCTGGCATACCGATCGTTATTCACTTTTTTTAGAAAACCCACTTTTAGTGGCTTCTATATGCAGAAGAAAAGGAAAACCTTTTTTTTTATATAGCTCAAATCAACAATAAACAAATTAAGCATACAATTAAGAAATACTACGGTTTTAATTGCTATTATTGTCAACGACAAAATGATTAATCTATTCTTGTGTGAAGATGTTTATGAAAATATGTAAACATAGTTTAAAGCAGGTTAGTCGAAAATGATTAAAAAGATCTGTTCCCTGACCGGGAATCGAACCCGGGCCGCGGCGGTGAGAGCGCCGAATCCTAACCACTAGACCACCAGGGAGCGATGTGATACAGACTCAATACATGAATTTTGAAGGATGTACCACGTGGTACTTTCATTTTGTTTTGAGTTTTTTGCACTTCTTTTCCTGTCAGTGGGGTTCGTGACGACTATGAGCCTCGTAGCTAACATGTCACGCGCGGCACATTTAGTTAAACCCACAGATTAACTGTAATTACGCAAGTTAACTTGGTTGTACTTGTTCTGCCTCACTTCACATTGTGAGTCAATGCTAACAGCAGCTAGCTGGCTAATCCAGCTCAACTTTACCTCGTGGGTTAGCATTCATAATAATAATAATAATTCATAATGCTACATAACAAGCAAGATGTAACTAACGTGGATATCCTGCGCGTGTCTGCCTTCATATAGCCGCGGTTGTCTTCCAGTCAGCACGACCTCGTGGCGCAACGGTAGCGCGTCTGACTCCAGATCAGAAGGTTGCGTGTTCAAATCACGTCGGGGTCATTGAATTTGTTTTAAATTTTTTTGTTTCGATAATTTAACAGTTTCATTTTAATGATTTTAAAAATACACTGCCTGCCCCCCCCAAAAAAAGTCTCCACCTGGATTTAACTAAGCAAATAGGTACGAGCCTCCTACTGGATAATCACTGCATGGGCGATCATCTTTCAGCTGCAACAAGTTATTTAACCCCAACTGGTGCAATGAGTTGCTTCTCATTTCTTAAACAACCGTGTTGAAAGACACATGGCGTGGTCGTGGAAAAGATGTCAGTCTGTTTGAGAAGGGTCAAATCATCGACATCAAGCAGAGGAAACATCTAAGGAGATTATAAAAACTACTAAAATTGGGTTAAGAACTGTCCAACGCATTATTAAAAACTGGAAGGATAGTGGGGGCCCATCGTCTTCCAGGAAGAAATGTGGCCGGAAAAAAATCCTGAATGATCGTGATCGGCGATCATTTAAAACATTTGGTGAAATCAAATGGAAGAAAAACAACAGCTGCACTCAGGGCTGTGTTTAATAGTGAAAGTAAGAACATTTCCACATGTGAAGGGAACTCAAGGGACTGGGACTGAACAGCTGTGTAGCCTTAAGAAAACCACTAATCATAAGAAAACCACTAATCAGTGAGGCTAACTGGAACAAAAGGCTTCAGTTTGCTAGGGAGCATAAAGATTGGACTCTGGAGCAATGGACAAAGGTCATGTGGTCTGATGAGTCCAGATTCACCCTGTTCCAGAGTGATGGGCGCATCGGGGTAAGAAGAGAGGCAGGTGAAGTGATGCACCCATCATGCCTAGTGTCTAGTCATCAGTGGAAGATCTTGGTGAAAAATTAATGCAACACTGGATGGAAATAGAAGTGACATTGAAGAAGCTTATTGAAACAATGCCACAGAGAATGCATGTTCTAATAAAATCTAAAGGCGGTCCAACGAAATATTAGTGTGTGACCTGTTATTTTTTTGGTGGCAACTTTTTCTTTTTGGCCAGGCAGTGTACTATATATTTAACAAGATGTGTTTGTTGTATGCAAATGATTATTAGAAAGCACATCAGAGACTCTACTTCCTCAAGCGGCTGAGGTGAGCTGGTCTGGGATGCTCAGTCCTCACCTCCTTCTACAGGTGTGCAGTAGAGATGTCATTTCTAACCCGAGCCCTAACCCCGGCCACACCCGACCCAAATTTGTGGCGGGCCAGGCCATGATAATGTGCTGTGTCAGTGTCAGGCTTTTTATTGGGTCAGCGGATCAGTCGCAATCCAATTATATGATAACATAGCCTGCCATACATTCACCAGCCGCACGCGACCATTTTACTGCAAGCTGCCCGGCCTTGAAAGAGGTAAAAAGTTCAGTTAAGCTTCAGATGGGACTGTACTGCCAGGAAGCGATCCATTGCCCAAACGGACGTTCATTCAGCCGCTGCACTCAGTGGACGCGCACGGCCGACAACCCAAACAGGTGAGATCCCAAAGCAGACGTGTCAGAGCAGTTCGTGTCTGAGTAATACAGACGAATGCAGGCAGAAGCAGTTTTGTCATGCTTTGTGATAACTATGAAAGGGCAAACACCCCCTCAGCTCCGATCAGCGCGTCCCCGACCATTAATATCTAATTAAAAATGTCGGAGGAGTTCCGGGTTCGGACCTGTAATTAATGTTAATTCGTCGGGTCAGGTGGGGTTCGGAAATGCTGACTGCTGACTTGGGTCGGGTCAGATCAGAGTTTTTGGGCCCGAATGCAACTCTAGTGTGCAGTGGAGAGCGTTGGAGTCAGCCTCCCCACCGTCACAGACATCTACACCTCCAGATGCAGGAAGAGGGCCACCTGCATCATGAAGGACCCCACTCACCCAGCGCGCACACTTTTTGCTCCGCTCCCCTCAGGCAGGAGGTTGAGGAGCATTAAGTGTAGAACCACTAGACTGAGGAACAGCTTCTACCCTGAGGCTGTCAGACTCTAACCAGAATAATCACTGTGAAAATAATCACTGTAATGCCACTTTGATTGTTGATATGCGCTGCTGATCTCATGCTGCTGATTATTTCATGCTGCTGTGTTCATTCCTACCCATCTGCTCACACAGACTCATGTTCGTGCTGCTGTTGTTCGGCGTATTGTTTCTGTCAGTGTTCAGCGTATTTCTTAGATCATGTCTTTGATCCTTACCGTTTCTTTTAACACTTTATATTTTTGCTCTTGTTGGATGTAACTGGGACCCTGTGTACACAATTTCATTCCACTTCATGTACCACGTGATGTAGGAGTTAATATTAGCATTTGTTATCGTTTAGAAAAATTGTGTCTTCAAAATTTCTTTGGCATTTGTGCATAAATATATTCATGTAAACAACGGGACTTCTTTTATTAACGTGACAAAATCAGTTTAGTGGTTTTCAAGTCGGGTCATTTTTAAAGTATTTCTTGTTTATCTTGTTTAGGTGCAATTGCTGAGATCCAATATACTGTATTAAACTACTTGAATTATAAAGTACTCGAGGTAAACCTTTTATAGTAATGAGTTATTCTCATTCTGTAGATCAAAACACTCTAATCTAATAATTCTACTTTTATAAATATATTCTGTAACAGAAGTTAAAATGAGAAAATTGAGAGCAAGATCTCCATTTATATGTTCAGTGTTTCAACTTAAAGCCATAAAATCTTCACAGAACTTCACATTTTTTAATTGCTCTGTGACTTTATTAAGTAAAAAAAATAAAAATAACTCTTACAAACACATTTTGAAGATACAGCTTCCCCGTTGAGGCGGTGTCTTAGCTTCTTTTTCTTGAATAAAAAGAGAACGACACAAAGCGAACTCATCAAAGTAAAGACAGATTAGAACAGATGGGATTTAAACTCCAAAATGAAGCTCACGGTTTTGGGGTTTTGCGTCTTCACAGCCAAATAAATATGTTTTAAATGTAAAGTTTTCATAAAAGAAACACATTTGAGAAGATGAATTTGTAGCTGCGGGGTCTACTCGGTGTTACCAAATGTCCGCTTTGCTGCTACAACCGTTCCTCGCGTGTCACTTTAGCTTCTGTTGGTTTGATGAACACGACATAAAAACGTGCACGTGTGTCTCAGCAGAGCGGCTGCAGGAGGGTTCAACACTGATGCTCTAGCTGGTCGAGCCGGAGCGGGACTCGTGGATGCTGACCCTCTTGCGGGTGTTGTCGGTGCAGCGCTCCAGGATGAGCTCAGCGCTCGGCCGTGGGGGGATGACCGGCGCCTCCTTCTTCAGCTCGCTCTCAGAGCCAGAACCAGACGCCTCAGGGATGTTCTCTGTAGAAGCAGAGCAAAGAGAAATCACACCGCGCTCCTCAGACTGACCCTGAAACGCACGTCGGACGCGCTCGGTACCCTGATTCTTCCTCTCCCTCAGCGGAGACTTTGCAGAGCTCCTGGAGTTCTTGCGCGGCGAGGCCTTCTGCTGGAGGTACCGACGGCTGTTCCTGCGGTAGGCCTCCTGGCTGAGCTGCTGACGGGAGTTGCTGTGGATGCTTTTAGCATTTCTGATGGTGGACCTGCCAGATGGAGGACATGCAGAGGTGGAGAGGTAAGCAGAAGCTGGAGGCGCCGATACAGACACGGGAACGGACATTAATGCAAGTCACAAATCCTGTTCAGGGAAACGTTGGGAAGTTCCCTGAAATGTTGCAATCATGCACTGGCTTGTGACTTTGTTCCTATGTCCCTCTGTTAGTAAAATATCTCATGAACCACAAGACAAATAGTATAGAAATCTTAAGATGTTCATCGTTAACTGATTAGCGTTAGAAGTCAAACACAGAAAAGTTAAATCGGGTCATCCGGACAGTTTCGATTTGGAAGAAACTTTTCTTCTTTCATCCGAAAGACTTCATCAGTCTGAGGCTTGAGAACAGGATCTGTCGTATGAACAGCAGCTTACTGGCGTGTTTCAAACCAGTCCGCTGTGGAGTTCCCAGAAACTGGTTTTACACATGTAAAATGGAGGACCATCAGTCAGTGCATATCAATCAAATGTTAGAGGCCAAACGGCTGCTTACACCTGATTCAAGATGGCCGCCACAGTTACTGGAACTTGGCCAACACGAGTTACTGGAACTGAGCTGAGACTTGGTGTGGTAGTAGCTGACAGTCATCCCAACAACACACTAGGTAAGAGACTACACAAGATCTTTGTTTAAAACTACAGGATTTCATTTAATTCTTATCAAATTTATTCAACCCGACTTAAATTCTGAACATTTTCACTTGAACTTATTTTTATTCAAATGTTACGGAAGTTCTACAATTTATGGTTCAGTTTCTTTAAAAAAAATAAATGAATAACTTGGCCCAACAGCAGTTTGCACAAAGAGAAATGAAATCACATTTTGTGGTTAGCGAGTTGAAACACTTCCCTTTAATTCGTAGTGGCACAAGGAAACACCGGCGGGACGACGTGCAAACGTGCGCGTGTCTCCCACCGGCTGCGTCCACTGAGGAAACATTTACTTTAGAGCGTTCGGTTTTATTCTGTGAGTGTTTGTGAAGCACTCACTCTACTGTGATCCATTTTTTCTTCTGTATGTTTTTCTGCTTCTTTCTCGTTTCACAGTTTTCAAGCTCTTTCAACAAATCATTTCAACACATTCAGCTCTTTCAGCACAATCCTGCTATGACTTTCGGTTTTGGTGCAACTTTAGCTGTTTGGATTGTTTATCCTTTTCTGTCTTTTTTTTTTCCTCATAGAAAATGAACTGATGTCATTTTCCATCCTTCAAATCTTTAGATCTGTTTACAACATTTTACTGCTCCTTTACATTTTGTTCTACTTCAGCTTCTTTCAGCTTCCTTGTGCAAATTTAAACTTTTTTCAGCTAATTACAGCTGTTTTTTCCAGCTGTTTTGTGCTCCTTTCAGCTTCTTTCTGCTACAACATATTTGTACTTCTAACTTCTATTTGCTAATTTCAGTAAGTTTCATCTGTTTCTGCTATTTCAGCTATTGTTTAGCTGTTTTATGCTAATAACTTTTTCAGCTAATTCCACATTTTTTGCACTCATTTCAACGTTATTCATCCGAATTCAGCAAAAATCTGCTTTTCATTTCCTTCTGGTAATTTAAGCTTTTTCTGCTTTTTAAGCTACTTTTCAGCTGTATTTTTGTTGTTGCTAATGTCAGCTGTTTTCAGATAATTCCCATTTTTTGTGCTCATTTCTGCTTCTTTCAGCCTAATAGGGCAAACTTGTTCTTTCTGCTTTCTTCTACTAATTCAAGCTTGTCTTAACTTTCAACTACATTTTCAGCATTTTTAGCTATAATTTCAGCTGTTTTCAGATAAATTCTTGTGGTAATTTCTGCTACTTCCAGCCAAATAAACGTCTTTCTGTTAATTTCAGCTTGTTATGCTCCTTTCAGCTTTTCTCTGGTAGTTTCAGATTTTCTGCTATTTCAGCTACTTTTAGCTGTTTTTGTGCTAAATTTAGCTTTTTTGATGAATTACAATCCGTATATTTTTAGCTCCTTCCACTTCCTTCTGGTAGTTTGAGCTTCTTTCTACCTTTTCAGCTACTTTTCAGCCATGTTTTTCTAATTTCAGCTTTTTTAGCTAATTTCCTAATGTTTGTGTTAATTTTTGCTCATTTGAACCTAATTCAGAAAATGTATGTTCTTTCTGTTTTCTTTTGCTACCTTAGGCTTGGTTTTTCATTTCAGCTACATTTAATGTTTTTAGCTAATTTCAGCTGTTTTTCAGCAAGTTCTTCAGCAATAAGCGTTTGCACTGCAGGAAATCAATTTCTCTAGTTACGTCTTAATTTAGTCTTTGTTTTAAAAGGCTTTATGTTATTTCGACACTTAACGTAAAGCTGAACGCTGTATAAAGACGAATGGATTGCCGTACCTGCGTGGTGGGGGTTTCTGTCCCCGCAGGTTCGTCCTCACAGGTCCGGTCTTGTCGTCGGCCTTCTGCAGGAACATGGACGGAAAATGACCCGTCTCATCCCCTTTTCTGGCAACAAACAAAACACACATAAAAAGGTACCATGATCATAGCTGCTTGAAGGGGAAGTATAAAGTACGCATGGTTCTTCTGATCATCGATACATTTAGCTTGAAGATGGAGCCATGATGATGTTTGGTGCTCTTTACCTGACGACCCACCAGCCGTCCAGCAGTTTGTGAATGACCTCCACAGTTTCTCCAACGTCCAGAGAAATCTCGTCCTCCTGCTCTGCCCTGTAGGCCTGGTCAGTGACGTGCAGCTCTCCTGCAGGGACACACTTTAATTAAACACACACAGGAGTCACCTCTTGACCCACATGGATCACGAACAGAACAACTCTTACCTTCATAGTCGGGTTCAGCCTCCTCTGCCTCCTCGGGTCCGTCCAGAGGCTCCAGGTAGGAGGCAGGAGCCCATCCTCGTTTGGTCTCACACTGGCAGAACCACCAACCTGACAGCAGCAGCAGCACCGAGCAGTTTTTACAGAAACGTCCAGGAAAATGTGGATTTTCAGAATCTCACCGTCCTTTTAAATTTAAACCGTCTAGTCAAAGATTCAAACCATGTTCGGCAGCTGCAGAATGTTTCACGCACGCCTGGTTTGACTCATTTAACACAGAAATACATTAAAAGCTGTTTGTTTAAAACTTAATGTTTACGTTTAATAAATAGACACATTTAAAAGAAAATCTGTGCATGCTAAAAGCTGAAGTGTTTACTGACACTTTCTAAAAGAAGCTGAAACTGATTAGTTCATATAAGAAGCAGGACACTTTCTAGTAGCTAAAAGTATCAAAAGGCTAACTAGAAGCTAAAAGTATCAAAAGGCCAGCTAGAAGCTAAAATTAGCAGAAGGCCAGTCAGAAACTAAAAGCAGCAAAAGGAAAGCTAGAAGCTACGGCAAAAGGCCAGTCAGACGCTAAAAGTAGCTGAAGGATAGTTAGAAGCTACAAGTAGCAAAAGGCCAGTCAGAAGCTAAAAGCTGCAAAAATATAGCTATAGAAGCTAAAAGCAGCAAAAGGCCAGTCAGAGGCTATAAGTAACAATAGGATAGCTAGAAGCTAAAAGTAGCTAAAAGCTAGCTAGAAGCTAAATGTCGCAAAAGGCTAGCTAGAAGCTAAAAGTAGCAAAAGGCCAGTCAGAAGCTAAAAGTAGCAAAAGGCTAGTTAGAAGTTAAAATGAAAGGTTAGCTGAAAGTTAAACATTGCAAAAAATACAAATTTGTAGTTAAAACCAAAACACTAGCTAAATGCTAAAAATAGTCAAATGCTACTGAAACTGAGTTAAAAATATTAAAAGGCTAGACATAAACAGAAAGTAGTAGAACATCAAATAAAAGCTAAAATGAGGGAAACATTTGCTTAAAACTCAAGTAGCAAAACACTAACGTAGCAACTCATTAGCTAAAATCTAAAATTAGGTTAGGTACAAGCTAAATGTAACGATGTAGCAAAAAGGTATCTAAAAGTAGCTAAAAACAACAAAGCAAGTCAAATAAAGGAGTTTGTTGACGCAGGTCGATGTTTTTGAAGGAACTGAAGAGATCTCATGTAGTTGTTTGTTAATAAGTTAAATATTTTGAAAAGTTCAAACGTTACAAAAAACAGAAATCATAGCACCCATGCAGATTTTTATATCCTTCATGGATGGTTTGGTTTTCTAACCGTTCTGACTTTTCTCCACAATTTCCACGAGGTCTCCGGTGTGCAGATTGATCTCGTATTTAGACGTTTTCTCGAAGTCTGCGATGACTCTGTAGGTGTCCAAGATGATGGGGCCAGAGATCTCTGCAAACACGACAACTTGTTTAAGAGTCAGCTGCATCGTACGAGTCTTTTGATGCGAAACACATTTCCCAAAAATGATCTGGATGTAACAGTTTATTTTAAAGCAATGGTTCCCAACCCTGGTCCTTGAGGAACACCATCTTGCATGTTTTTACTTGTTTCTCTGCTCCAAAAAAACAGATTCAGTGGTTTGATTACTTCCTCAAGTTCTGCAGGAGCCTGCGAATCACCCATTTATTCAAATCAGTTGTGTCAAAGCAGGGAAACAACTAAATCATGCAGGATGGCGTTCCACAAGGACCAGAGTTGGGAACCATTATTTTAAAGTATGCAAAAAGCTGCCAGCTCTCAGATTTACACACTAATGAAAACATTATTAACCTATATAACAATAATTCTGTTTCTACACTTAGATACAAGTTTAAATTTACAAAATGTTTAATTTTAAAGAAATTAAAAATTCTTACCAGATGCGGTGCCTCTGGTGAGTTCCCTGGACACCACAAACGTCTCGAATCGTTTCAGCCTGTGGACAAAATGTTTTACGTGTTTTATAAGGTGGCGTGCAGCTGGCAGAGCAGACATCTGTGGGATGTACTGACGTGTTTGGAGCCGGGGGGTTCTCGTCCTCAGGTCGGACCTTGAAGAAGGCGGAGAGGTGTTTGCAGCGGGAGATGTGAGCCGGCAGGTTGATGAGCGACTGGCAGTACTCGGCCAAGGTGGTCTTCCTGTTTTCTCTGGACTTCTCACTGTTCAGCCACCGTGGAGCTGAAGGCACGAACAGAACCAGTGAAGACCAGTTCCACATGGAACCCAGGTCACTTGGTGGCATTTACAGATTAATTGCATGCAGATGTGATGGAAAGGTCTTCATCAAAACTTCATTTAGAACACAGCATCATATGATAAACAGTTATTTTTATTTGTTTCAACTTTGTTCTTCTATGGAAGGCAGAGCCACAGTGTAAACAAACATTTTTTAAAAATAATTCAGATTTTATTTTTTCTCAGCGTATCAGAATTATGAGATTTTTTTAAATGATATTTCTGAAATTAATATAAAAATTCCGAGTTTTTCTTATTTTTATCATGGCCATGGTCTTCTTCTTCTTCTTTGCAAACACGATGAACCGAACATATTTCAAATTTTTGTTTTTTCATCATTTTATTTTTGTTAATATAAGTTTTCACTTTTAATCACTTGAAGGTAAAATACAGTAAAACAAGAAGTCCTCACTTGTCCTCAGCATTGAATGCTGCAGAATTTAGAAACTGAAAATGGGATGACAGCAACTCCAGCTTGTCGAGACATTTTAAAGATTGAGGAAGAGGAAGATGGTGGATGGATGGATCTTCATTGATTGATATCCTCACAACTTTCAGGACATCTTTCCATCTTAAGCAAACTTTAAAGCAAAGCTGAGATACACCAGGAAAGATTTCTGCATTAAATACATCAAAGATGTAAAATCAGTTTTCTGTATCTCTTCACTTTACGAGAGGAAAGGTTCAACAGAGAGCTGTTGTTCAGGGTTGCCAGATAAACATGATTTATTTATTTTTTTGTCGTTTCCTTTTCTGTGCACGTTTGCACGTTTACCAAACACAGTGCACACCTCATTGTACGACACCATCACTCAGCACGTATGACAGTTTGGGTCAAAATTTTAAAGTGACAGTACATAAGTTTACCATTTCCTATCTGGCAACCCTGCTGTTGTTGCATCATGTCTGTGGTTTTGTCTCTGCTTCTCCTTTTCCATCCTGCAAACCAGAGCTTTAGTAATGAGTGTTTCACAAGCCAAATGTGTCAAGCCGAAGTTCTGTTTTCCTCTAAAGTAGCATCGAGAACCCTGAACACGTTTACGACAGCTGGCCGTCGGCACTAAAAGGGGAAAGTCAAACAAGTCAAACCAAAGAAAAGCCTCTCAGATCTTAACCGTCTGAGTACGTTCCTCTCATTCAGCTGCTACTTTCACTTCTGATTTTTGTTCTATCTTCAGCAGAGAAGAGAAGCAACAACTGGAGGGATGTTTAGGACCAAATTCACTATTAGCACCGTTTTGTTGTTCCATGACCTGTCTGGCTTTTTAAAACACAGGAAGAGTAATGTGCAGTCTGGGCGCAACATGTTGTGAGACATTATTGTTTAAAAATTTGACATTGATTATTAAAGTTAACACTGTCTGTCTGGTAGTAAATGCTTCTGACCCACTAAGCAGATTTCAGGGAAACTCTCAGAAATTAATTATTGGATTCACATCAACAACTGATTCAACCCAACATGGCTCCCACATTAAAGCAACAAAGCATCACAAGCATTGGCAGTAACTCAGTCAAGTTCACAGATGTTGAGCTGATATTTGACGTGGTTGTATCTAAGTGTTACTTTTAACACATGAGCTAATACATCTCATAATTTCACATGGCATTATGCTTAATGAAAGGACTATTTGTTATTTTCATACGCTGTCCAAGGCAGGACATATTATGGTATAGTCTTAACTTTCTCTTGTTTCGCCCATGACTTCGGATCAGCTCAAGATATTTTAACAAAACTTCCCACACAAATGCATCATCACTAGACAGTGGGCTGCCTACACTTTTCATCAAGCCAGCTCCAAGCTCAAGGTCACAAATCAAGGTCAAACGTTATACAAGGTCTTTGCTTTTCTTGGCCAAAACGTCTGATTCGCTCAGATAGTTCAATGAAACGTTACAGACATTTGTACCACCACTCAACAATCCATCCATCCTTCCATCCATCCATCCATCCATCCATCCATCCATCCATCCATCCATCCATCCATCCATCCATCCATCCATCCATCCATCCATCCATCCATCCATCCATCAATCATCTTTACCCACTTCTTCTTTTTTGGGTCACAGGGGTCACTGGTGCCCATATCCAGCCATCACTGTGTGAGAGTTGGGGGACACACTGGACAGGTCTCCAGTCCATCACAAAGACACATAGAGATAAACAAGACAAACAACCATTCTCTCTCTCTCTCTCACGCACACCTAGGGACAAGTTAGAGTTATCAAATCAGCCTAACATGCATGTTTCTGGTCTAGGGGAGGAAACTGGAGTACCTGAAGAAAATCCACACATGCACAGAAAGAACATGGAAACTCCACACACAAAGGCCTCCGGACCAGGGTTTGAACCAGGGTAACCTTCTCGCTGAGAGCAGTAGCTCTAGCAACTGCACCGCTGTGCTGCCACCACTAGACAATGTGTTGCATAATCTTTTCCTCACCCCAGCTTTAGTTCAAGTTCAAGAATATTTATTATCCCCAAGGCGTAATTTATTTCACAGTCAGTAGACACACAAAACATCCATAGTCAAAACATTGAGACATTAAAATACCAGAAATCATCACTGTTAGTTGAGAAGCCTGATCTCTACAGAGATGAATGAGTTTTTCATTCTGTTCATTCTACATCTGGGCAGCAGCTACCTGCGTCCAGATGGAAGCAACCTGAACTCACCATGGAGTGGATGATCAGGATCTGCCAGAATCAGCCTGGCCTTGTTCACTGACCTCACCTTGTGTAGGTCAGTGAGGTTCTGTAGGACTGTGCCAGCAGTTTTTCCTGCACATCCTGACAATCCCCGAGAGTTTGTTCCTGTTCTTACATGTCAAAAGTCAAAACCAACAGATGAAGCTCAAGTTAAAAGAGACTCAATGAAACATTCATATAAAAGTAGAATCAACATTAAAACCACAGAGCTTCGGATAAAATACATTCTCTGGTGGGCCTTCTTACAAAGTGAGTTCACATGGGGGTCAAAGGTCAGTTTGTCATCAAGATCAGTTCCCAGATATTTATATTGATGCACCTCCTCGACAGCTGCACCGTTAATGACCACAGGAGCTGCAACTGAAGAATCTTCTAAAATCAAAGACCATCTCCTTTGTCTTGGAAACATTTAACTTTAAAAAAGAAGACTGACATCATCCAGTGAAGTCCCCGACCACAGTCTGGGTCATCCCTGCTGAGAAGGGACAGGATGACAGAGTCGTTCCGCAAACTGAAAATAAAAGGGGTGAAAGAACGCAGCCCTGAGGTGAACCGGTAGAAGACAGAAGGGCTTCAGAGAGAAACCCATTGAGCCTCACTCGCTGAGACCAAACAGTTAAAGGTCAACGTCACAAATCAAGGTCAAAGGTAAGACCAGGTCTTATAATAGTTTGCTGACAGGTGTATAATGTGCCGTATACAGTATTAATTTATCTCAAGATGGTTTTAGCCTAAAACTCTGCCATGAAAGGCAGCAGATGATATGCATCCTTTAAGAAAAGGCCTTTGACTATTTCTTTTCAATTTAAGAAAAATTAAGTTGTGTTGAGCTGCTTTATTTTGACTATGTGCATGAATAAGTTCAGGTGTTGATCCAAGAGAACCACTGGTTTTAGTTGCACTTTTCACAAAATAGAGAAGTGACTATATCACTGCATGGGTTTGCTAATCACAGGTGCTTCCTGAAAGATGATTGGGCAATCACCCGAAAGGTGAGCACACGAAGTTTAAAACTTTCATGCACAAAAATAGTTTTTTACCTGGTAATGAGGGGATTATCCTGTCCTTCTTTTCTATTTGTCCTGACTCGATGGGGAACATCTCCTTAAGTGATTTCTGTGAACAAAGCATCAAAACTCTTCAAACACTGCGATTATTTAGTCTGTTGGAAGAGTTTGACTGCCGACTAACGTGGAAAGTGTGGATTTCAGGGTACGTCCTGTAGATGAGTTTCTCTGAGAGGTCGCTCCATTTGACCATCAGCAGGTACACCTGCACAGATTTTAAAAATCACCCGTAAATTGACCAGTTCTCTTTAGGTTTTTCAGCAGGTTTTTGTGATGAAAGAGTAAAAACAGTGTTCAGACTTACGTAGTGCTGACTTGGAAAGAAGCGTTTCTCGAAGCCCAGCAGCTCCACATGCCTGACGTAGAGCTCCATGCTGAAGTCGTGCAGAACGACTGAGCCCAGCCGACGTTGAAGACGACAGAAGCCGTTTTATACGCTGAGTGCAGGGTGGCGTCAGTTCCTCTTTACAACACTTTGGACGAGCAAAACTTCACCAGAAACAAAAAAAGGAAGAACTTACACACAGGTGCGTTCACTTGATAACTGTCGCTGTAGAAAAATAGGAAAAAATAACAAAATACAAACAGGAAAGTTTTCTTATTCTACTAAGCCTTCTTATGTTTTTTTGGTTGAAAGAAGACATTCAACCAAAGGGTTGTGTGTAAATTAAATAAAAACAGAACTTTGAGAGGATTAAGGTGATAAAACTGCATTTAGATCTGCCTGCAGTCATAATTAGTCAGTTGTAAATAAAAAAAAACATAGATTATTAATCTATGGGTTTCAGCCACCCCAGTCATCTGAGGAAACTATACTTTTAAGTCATATAAAAGCTAGAAAGCACAGTTTCTTCAAACTAGAAAGGTCCTGGAGAAACTGTTGAATAAACAAATATCCTTACATCATCTACTTTATCAAATAAGCCACTCTGAGGACACAAAAAGATTTTTAACCAGTCTTTTACTTGCGATGGTAGACGGTCACTAAAAGGCTTTCACAGATAAGTTACATGCTTCGAGCCTGGTCAGTGAGAATGTGCGCCGGACAGTGAGGCAGGAAGTGTTTTATAATATACACTTATTAGACAGAGGCGAGGTCAAGACGGCCTCAGCTTTCCAGCTTAGAGATGAGAAGATATCAGGCACTCCTCCGTGCACCTGCAGGCTCCTCTCTGAGAGAAAAAACAACTCTCTAACTCACACACATTCATCTAACTTTAGTTACTAACAAACATCCATAAACCTTTACCCGGATTAGGGCTGGACCAGTCCATAATAATGTGCTTAATGTGCGGGCCAGTTTGGTGTCAGACTTTTGATTGTGTCAGCGGACGCGTGTGGCTGACGATCCAATTATATGGCAACATGGCCTTCCACACTATCACCTGCCGCACGCCATTTAACTGCGCGCTGACCGGCCTTGGAAGAAATAAAAAGTTCAGTTAAGCTTCAGACGGACTGCCAGCGATCCATCAGCCCATGGACGTTCATTCAGCCGCTGCACTCAGCGGACGTGTGCGATCGACGACCCAAACAGGTGAGATCACAAAATATTCGACATGTCAAAGCGGGGTCCGTGTCTGAATAATGCAGAATGCAGCAGAAGCAGGGATTTAATGCGCTTTGACGGCCATGAAAGAACAAACACCCTCTCATCTTCAGTCTTCTGCCCCCTTTACTCAGCCGTGCACATCTGCCGACCATTAATAACTATATAAGCTGTCAAAGCTTAATTAAAAATGTATTTTTTATTAAATTTTTTTTTTTCAGGTTCAGACCTGTAATTACTGTTAATTCGTCGGGTAGTGTGGGGTTCGGAAATGATGGCTACGGGCTGGGGCCGGGTCGGATTTTTTGGACCCAAATTCAACTCTATCGCCATGGTAACTCGAAATGCCAATAAAAGTAACAGCACACATCTCGGTGCCGAGTCGGTCATTTTGATATAACATTCAATGCGGTTCGGGCTGCATTAAAGTTGATAGAAAAGCAAAACCCTGTTCAGGTAGATAATAATAGGGGGCTGCCATTCTAGGCAGTCCACAATGATGGCGTGGTCAGTTTACATAAGGCGGTGGCCATCTTGGATGTTGACATGGCAACCCGATTTTCAATGGTAACTTTTCTTACGCCTAGATGCAGCCAAACGTCGAAATGGAAGTCTGTACCGCTCTTATTTTTCAAGTTATTGAGCTCACAACCCGCATGGAGGGTTTTTCTAACCCCCCCTCTCAGTGATGGAGGACAAAAAACAGCTAAAGTCCATTTTGAAATACCTTCAGAAAGCTTAAAGAACTATTGACCAAGATCACTTTAGAAGCTGAAAACTTGGCTCTTTTGAAACAAAATATAAATAAGTTAGAGGCAGTTTAAAGTTTATAAAAGTTTGTTTCAATATTATTGACGTTTGGAAACTGTCAGAGTTAATGGATGCTTTGAAAGAAGATCGGTGAAATCTACGGCAAAAAACCCATTTTCAGTTTCACAACCGTTTACACCTTTAATTACTTGTTTCCTTTTAAGTCTCACAATAAAGCTTCACAGATTTAGGATGTGTTTAAACTAAACATATTGATCGGCACGTGTTGTGCTGTAAACCATCAAATGCAAAGGAATGCTGCAAGTCAGGAATTTCCCCATTTATGTGCTTTCCTGGTCAAAAAGGGGAAACCCCAAGTAAAATGTACACACCAAAAATCTAGTTTTTATTTTCTGTTGTGGGTGCATGTGCGGGTTCATGTGGGTCATTTCTGTGGGGTTTAAACCAAACTTGTGATTTCCAATATTTCTGCAACAGAAAAGAGGAACAAAGAAATAAAAAACACAAACACACGTATTCTTCCTGAACTGGTGAAAAACAACTCGAGCAGGACCAGTACTGCAGTTTCATAGTCTTTAAACAAACACAGTTAAAGCCATGGTTATATCATCCAGTTTAAGATGCTTTGTGCTGTCAGCTCTATTTAGAGAAACAGTTCAAAGATATTTATAAATGACATTTATGCGTTTCTGATTCAGCAACTGATGAAATCACATAAAGTGAAGTATTGTTGCGAAGCAGATGATTTCATTTCATGGTGAATGACACATCTAGAGTCACATTATTGTCATTAGCCTGACAGCTCAAATAAAAATTACTCAAACGCACCGTGACCTTCTGACGGTGAAGGTTTTCCATCATCCGGGGCACGACAGTCCTGAGTCCAGTTGAAGACAGCCCGTTTTGTTGGTTGGAAACATTTAGGATTTCTTGTTCCAAACAAAAACATGCAGAGTTCCAGTTTTTGAAACTGCAGTGAGCTGCTCCATTTACAGCATGTGAGCTGAACACACGTGCAAATCTCTCTCCCTCCCCTCCCTTCTGAGTGGTTGTTAGGGTTTCTGTTGGCCTTGTACAAATGAGGCGTTATGCAAGAAAGAGCTAATTGGGGTGAAAATGGGGTTTAAATTCAAAATATGTTTGTTCATTAAGTCAGAAAAATATGTTTTTCAGAGGTTTTGCTATAATGGTTCTTTACAGATGTAGGATCAGTTAAATAACTTTAGGATGTCATTACACACCAACAGGTTTTATTAGAAAGAAAATGACCAAAGACGGTAAAAAAAAGCAACATGGATGACTTCAGGTCCGATAAAACAAGCAAAATGGTAAAAATGTATGGGTTTTATCACAACACAAACACAGAACTGCCTTTAACAGAAATACCTTTTTTATTTTCTACCAAATGTTTTTGGTGAATAAAATTAGAATGAAAAGGACCAGAAGTGAATCCACATCCTGTCCTTTCAAAAAAAAGAAAAGAATAAATGAGCATTAAAAATTAAATCTTGTAAAAACAAAAGAGTAAAAATAGACAATGGAGAAAATTAAAAAAAAAATGGTAATGGTAAAAACGTAAAAGAGCTGATTGAGAATAAAATATAAAGAAGAGAAAACAAGTTAGAAGAAAACATAATTAGAAAAATAAAAAGTCACAATAAGAAGCTGATGGGACAGGTCAAGAAAAGATGAAGAGATAAACGAGAACAGTATATTTGGCACCACACAGCGTCAGTGTTGGACTGCAGGAACAGCAGCAGTCTGAGGTTTGTTTCCTCTGATGTGGAGAACTCTGTCATTTCAGCTCCTGGCAGCAGCTTCAGGTACATTTATACATTTATCTGCGTCTCTAACTCACAGCACACCAGTTTGTGTTTTTTTTACAAGAAAGAAACATTACATTCCGTTTAATACTCAACTTCAACATCTGTATGTTCTCAAGAAAAATACCTTCCACATGAACAGGGAGAATAATATTGAAAATGAACTTGAACACAAATATAGTAATTTTGAGGTGAACTTGACTTTAATTCTTAAAAAAAAAAAAAAAAAAAAAAAAAAAACCGTCAGACTTAATTTGTCTTACCCATCACAACTCAGAGTGTCTTCAGAAACAAATAATGTGAAAAATTCAGAGGGATTTTTACAAAAAAGATATATATTTTTTAATCATCTGCAAAAAAACAAAGCTGAGCTTCCAAACCAGGTCAAGGTGCTGAAGGCCCGTGTCAGCCTGGCACTCTTGACCCGGATCTGCGCTACATTAGCGGTCCATGTTAGACAGAACGGACCGCAGAGCTTGTGTTACAGAACAAAACTTTGTCTTGGACACGCAGCATGACTGAGGTGGGGTCTCTTGAAAGTATTTAAGGAACTGCAACACATTCCTTACGTAGTATTTTGCTGTGGCTACAGTTCTTTCCCGCAGCGAGCAAGTTAGAAGACCACCTGCAGAAACAAATCACACACATTAATCCACATTTTGTTTTCATCCAATAAGTAACGAGCTGGAGAGCAACTTACTTCAGAATTCGTGGAGTGTTGTCCAAAAACAGCCAGTTCCAGGAGTCCGGTCTGTCCTTGGACGTGTACTCCAAGAAGAACCTGACCCTGTTGACCTTTGATTTACAGTTTTCAAGCCGTTTTCTGTCACTGCACAGGAACGTAAGGAAGACGCTGTACCCCCCGAGGAGCTAGAATGTTGGCAACAACATAAAAACATAAGAAACACTGCAGTGAGCTGAAGTGATGGGACTATACTGTAGAACTTACAACAAAGATTAGTAACATTGTTTTATAGCCTGCAACCGAAAAGGCTTAAAGTGCATCAAAATAAATCTATCCTTAATTGAACTGTAAACTTTTTTGACCATTTGATACAAAAATAAATCAAATTACATACAATCAGTAAATAATAATAAATTCAAATTGATCAGCAACATTTTAAGTCAGGAGTGTTAAAAACAACACTTTGGCCTGCAAAACAAAAATGAATAAAACAATTTGTGCTGATTTTTAAAAATCAAAACGAGGAAGTTTAATGGCACCAATGATTGAAGCGGGGAAAGCGCTCACAAGA